GAATTTGAATTGCTTCACGTGCTCTGCTTTAATTCATTTCGGATTTATGCTACGATACAATTGTGCTAGATTTTTTTGGAACGCCCTTTCACCCTGGAGCGGTGAGTTTTCGTGAATGACAATGGGTAGAGCTACCACCAGTGAAGTGTACGGTTAAACCATCCACAGCTTCCAGTAGTGCAAAACTGGCTTCAACGGCATGGAAGCCCACCCATCCGTTCCAAAGAAAACTTCACCGTATAAATTTCTATGCGCAAGAACATATTGCACGAGATTGATCACCTGAAAAATGTCGTAAATTCGATCGGTCGACATTGGGAAGGTCTAGCATCCTTTGACAATGAGGTGTTATGAGTCAACAGCTGGCAAGTCGTAAATTTGTTCCTTTGGAGAGTCGTTGAAGATCCGTAACACAGGTTTCTCCGACCTACTAGGTACCGGAGGTTTTGGCAAGGTCTGAAACATTATTGTGATTCACAAGTGAAGGGTCTTACAAGGGAGGTCTTTCAGGACATGGAGCGCTTTTTCGAAATGGTTTTCTGCATGTTGTAGGGGCTCATGCGAGGAACACAGAACCATGATCCATTTTTCCTGAACGCCTCCAGGAATGTCAAAACAGTGGTGAAGAAATGGTCCAGAGTTCGATCCCCGGTGATGACTAATTTTTGCAATATAGTTTGGCGCCCCCAGATTGCCGCCAAATGGCGCCATCGTCGAGAATAGATGTCATTGTCGTGTTTTGCGGCAATTTGGAGGCGCCAACATAAATTGCAAAAATTTGTCATCACGGAGGATCGAACTTTGGACCATTTCTTCCCCGCTGTTTTGACATTCCTGGGGGCGTTCAGGAAAAATGGAACCATGGTTCTGTGTTCCTCACATGAGCCTCTACAACATTCAGGAACCATTTTGAAAAAAAAAACGCCACATGTCCTGAAAGACCCCCTTGTTAGAAAAGTAGAAGAACTGGAAACATACTGAAATTTTTGTATCAGGCGAAAATCTGGCTTTGCGTTCCTGTGCTTGCGCTTTCAGTGTGTCTTCTAGAGTGGCAATGAAATTCTGGGAAGGTTTCGCCTGAAAGAAGTTCTTCTTACCAGAGCACTTTGATACAATGTATGTGAAAACTTTACTTGAGCAGTAGTGGTAGGACTTTCAGCACGGATATTAACTGCTTTGCCTGCAACTATCAGCGGTATCGGATCACTGATCTTCGGACGATTTGGTGAAATCGATGGCAAGCGAAAAGCTGCAATAATAGCAAAATAATTTTTTGCACAGAGGACTTCAGCTAGGCTTATTTTGTATAAATTGTGTCTCCAATTCACTAATTTAGCACCGCGAATCGCAGTGATCATTTTTGTATGCTTAACGTTGGATCAAATCGAGATTGTTACCTAAACCTAAAATTATGGTAACCTGTCCCAATCAGAAGGGACAGGGAGCCGCAAGGTTCTAGCCATTTTCTCTCAGTGAATTCTTCACCAGCTGGCATGTATACTTGAGCATGGCTCCATGGAAAAGCTCACCGGCGGCGCGGACGCGTTCGCGTGTTGGTGACGTCACAGCGGCGGCGAGGGAGCGAGCAAGGGCCAGCTCTACCATCAATACTTTGATGCATTGAGGAGTCCGAGCATCTATCGTATTCTTATTTTCGCTGTTTCGCTGTGTACTAGGAATGAGTAGGAATTGAACTCGAAGAACGGACTTGATTCAATCAATTTCAACATGACTGTGTACTCCTAAGGGTTTTCACATGAAAGCCTCGACTTCCTCTACATTTTCAAAAAATCACAATTCCAAGTGCGAGGATAATACCTGTACCTAACACAATCATTTCGCTCGCGGCACAACTGTGGATAATTTGGTATAGCTCCTGAAACACAGCGCCATTTGAACGAAGTGGCAGCGGCGCTGGCCACTGCTTGCCCTTCCTTCGAAGCCTGCCGCAGCTGTGACGTCATTTTGACGTCACCAACACGCGCTCGCGTCCGCGCCGCCGGTGAGCTTTTCTCCCCCTCCCCCTTGGGCATGACCATGGCGTCGCAACAGTTTTGTCAGTTTCGCAGCAATGAAATTTTTCCAGCGGAAGATCGAGCCCGTGAATGTTTTGAGTACAGGAAGAAGTTCATATTTTACAACAATAGCCTACTGCTGTCCTCAAATACCATCAAACAAAACTAATAAACAACTTCGTGAATTGTTGAGATAAATCCATAACTGACCCTCACCACTTTTCTGTGCGATTCTAGTCGCTTTTGGAGGATTCATAGGCACATAGTCGGAGGTAGCGATTGCGTCCTGTGGTACCGGAATCGGCGAGTCCAATGTCAAGTGTACTGGACGCTTTGGAGCAGGCCGAACAGGTGTGCAAGCTGAAAAAGAGAGGGACAGATTCACCCGGCATCGTGAACAATTTTCTGCCATAGGCTACGTTATCAAAAATAGAAATAACATACGAATGGCCGGTAGTTGAATGTTTGGAGTTGGCGACGACACAAGCCCACTGCTCATATTGACAGGTCGTAGGTATGGAGGGGCCATTTCAGTTGGTGGCGAGTCAGTACAGTACAACATCGGCTTGTGCGGCGATGGAAAAGGACTGCAAAGCACTGTTGTGATGACTAGAGCTTCAATATTTCTAGTTTGTAGAATTAGCGCGTAAAAATAACAAATATGCATGTAGTTTATAAGGTCGTTTCTGCCGACAGTCTAGACAAGACAGAGTAAGACTCCCTAGTTTCTGGTAGCAAGCTAGCAGCTCGACAACCAGCTCATGCTGGTTGCAAAAGTTTTAATGAATAAATGTAAACTCTGGAAAAGGCACCGGTAAGCGGCTACTCTCAACACCCTAAAAC